TTCGTAAGCACAGCCGTCATAAACGCAGTGTTTCCCCACAAACACCCAGTCTCGAGCTTGACAGCAGTTATCTGTGAAGTGCTTTGATGCTGTAAGGGCTGTATCGAATGAGATGATTGATATTATTATAAGAATCCTTGATAACGCTGTGAGGATGACAAGTCAGCCACTACAAAACACAGCACACAGTCACTACGCTTCACACTAAATCCGCATAACACAACAAACAGCCACTACACTTTACGCTAAATCTCCAGAGCACAACACACGGTCACTACAGTTTACGCTAAATCCGCAGACCACACAACACCAAATTTAGCGTGAAGCGTAGTGACTGTGCGTCCGCAGCAATTAGCGTGAAATGTCTTACCTGAGTACTGTGGTATTTTTTGCCTTGTGTCTGAGGTGGGGGTGACTTAAAAAGAAACTATTTCCGATTGAACCTTCAAATCGGGGCCATTGAATAATTCTTTGCAAAGTGTTGTGTTGTGGTCCCCCTCCCCCCCAGCCCCCCCAAAGAAAAGGAAATGGTTCCATCGAGCTCCGAAACAAAACCCTGACATTGCAAGTAATATTTCACAATTAAAAAACCGCTCCTCTCACTTCCACCAATTACCCTCCGTCCACTGGTTCGGTTTGATGATTTGTGGATCAATTTTGGCTTCTCCTGCTATTTGTGCCGCTTACTGCTTCAGCTGTTCTGCCAGGGTGTGTTTTTTTGCTGGCCTGAGCATTTTACCTTAGTGTTTAATTCAGAATTAGTCTGGCTCAGGAAGCCATTCAGCCTCATCTGTATATGCTTACTTGGCAATAAACCCTCACTAAGAGAATAACCTGGCTGTGTCCCGCTCTCCCAGTTCAAGGACTTCAATGTTAGGATATTTAAAAAGGGAGAGAGAGAAAGAGAACAAGAGAGAAGGAGAGAATTGAGAGAAGGAGAGCGAGGGCTTTAGCTGAGAGACTCGACCAGAGCAGAGAACAAAAAGGAAGCCTTCAACACCACACGGGAGCAAGCTGGGATCTGCTGCACAGTCCCCGTCAATCACAACAGCACATTGCATTTATGTCGGGTCTCTCACGCCTTCGCTCTGCCACCACAGCTTTTAGCCAATGTGCCCCCACTCTCTGGAACTCGCTCCCTCACACACCCTTCCCTTCCTTTTCCATCTTCACAACCCACCTCCCCGACTGCGCTCTCGGTCACCTCCCTCCTGCTTTCCAAGATGCTTCGAGATACGGCTTACTGCTGACACAGGGACATAAGAACAGGAGGAGGCCATTCGGCCCCTCGAGCCTGTTCTGCGCTTCTATTAGGTCATGGCTGATCTGCACGTCAACTCCATGTACCCGGCTTTGCTCCGTATCCCTTGCTACCCAGACCTAACAAACATCCATCCAGCTATCAGCAGCTTATTACAGGCGTGAGCAAGACAGTAAGCAAAGGGGGGGGTTTATACCCCATAGAAAGAGCGTGAGTGAAAATCCTGAACCATTTAAAGTTTCAATTAAAGCTAAGAACAGGAGGAATTTGGCAGCCCCCTGTTGTTCAGAGTAAGGAAGGTGCTCATTCACATCCTTGAGTTGTTTCAAAGTCTTTACCCCTCAGCAGTTTTACTTTTGTTTCACACTTAGAAACAGCCGTGTTGTAATTTAGATAATGGCTCCGGGTGGTGATTAATGCGACTGGGTTTCCCTGTGCAGACTCTAGTCAAGCGGAGGCTGTGTGGTTCCTGTTTATTGCTCTGGAACCGTGTTTATGTACATCTCAGAGACGCAGGAACCAAACTGTACAGCAGTGCGTCAGCCTGCCTCACTCGGTCGCACTCTCAACTCTTAGCCTACAGTTGTGGGGTCAGCAAACATTGAGCTCACAGTCTAGGCTGACACTCGAGGGCAGTGCTGGGGGTAGCAATGCATTGTAGGAGGCGCTATCCTTCAAATGAGATGTTAAACCGAGCTCCTTCCCCCGTCTGTGCCCTGTTCAGGTGGACGTTAAAGATCCCATGGTGCTGTTGGAAAAGGGAAGGGAGTTTCTCTCTCTCTCTCCTGGTGTCCTAGCCAACAATCCCCACCAGATAGAAACTGGGACTTCACTTCAGCACCGGGTTCATCGCTGCCCGAAAATCGTCACAGCAACATCCCACAAACAGCCATGGAGTGAGTGACTGATTTTATTTGGGGGATTGTTGGCCAGGACACCGGGAGAGAGAAACCAAGGACTGCACCTCCACCAATGCAACACACAAACCCCCCACCAGCGCTGCATTGGAGCGTCAGGTTAGACTGTGTGATTCCAAGTCCGATGTGCGAGGCTTGAACCCACAACCTTCCGGCTCCGAGGCGAGAGAGAGAGAGCGAGAGAGAGCGCTAACACTGAGCCAGGCTGACACACGATGAGATGTGGGTCAGAGGGACCAGCTCGGGTTTGCACGGGTCCTCACTGCCTCACTCCCCGTTCAGTAAGTCAGGCAGTCAGTCAGCGTGAGGTTTTTCTTGCGCTGCCTGGCTTTACTTGGCGTTCTCTTGTCTCTGACTGAAGAGCCCGAGCCACGTACATGCCAGAGAGACAGCCACTGATAGATTGGTTGGAGAAAGAGCCAGGTTGTTAATATTAGCAGCATTTGCCAATAATGTCTTCCGACAGCTCATTCCCGGCATTTGACTTTGTGTCTCTTCCCATTTGCTCGTCTTCCTTGGAAACAATTTCTCCCTTTCTTAGGCTATTTTTTCCCCTCCATTCCATTAATTAGGCCACTTGATGGCTTTCCGTGCATCACTCTTTTCCTGATTGAAGCCGTTTCTGATTTGTAGCAATGTGGTGTAGTGCTGCGGGTGGGGGCTGCATTGTCGGAGACATCGTGAAGTTAAACCAAGCTCTCTGTTTGTACCCGGTTCAGGCGGACGTTAAAGACGACCCTATCCTGTTGGAAAAGAGAAGAGTGTTTCTCCCTCCCAGTGTCCTGGCCAATATATCCTGTCATGTTGACCAGGACACCGAGGGAGAGAGAAACTCCTTTGGAATCTTTGACGTCCACTTGCTTTCACACTGGGAAATAACTTCACCTGCTGGTTCAGTGACAAATGGCTTATGTGTTTATTATGTTCCTGTCAGTCGCACATTTAAATACCTTTGCCGTCGCTCTATTCTGTGAGATCGTGTAAAATACATTTATTGACACTTGAGACTGAGCCCAGTTCTCATCGAGTTCCTTTGTGCGGTGGAGAATTTATTGGCAGGAACAACACATCTGTATTAAAGTGCTGTGCTTAACCACAGAAAAACATCTTGAACAGTAAATGGCAAGAATTAGGAAGGAAGAGGCCAGGTTTGTGTTGCTGACCCAGTAAGTCAACAAGAATAACAGCACAATTACATTTGCATAGCACCTTTTATGTTGGGAGGACATCGCAAGGCGTTGGACAGGCAGAGTTTCGGACCTGAGCTGGGGGTCGGGATTGGGGAGGGTGGAAGGCAGGGGGGAGAGGCAGAGTGATCACAAGCACGATTGAAGAGGAGGGTCTTGAGGTGGATCTTGAAGATGGCAAGGGAGGGGGTGAGGTGGACGGACTGCGGGATGGAGTTCCAGAGAGTGGCAGAAGGCCCACCTGCCAATAGTGGGGCGAGCGAGGCGGGGGGCGTGAAGCAGCCCGGAGCCCGCTGAGCGGAGGGAGCGGGCCGGTTGGTAGGGGGTTAGGATGTCACAAAGGGAGGGGGGAGTGAGGCCATGGAGGGTTTTGAAGATGAGGACCAGGATCTTGAACTGTATCCTCTGTATGATGGGAAGCCAGTGGAGTTGGCCGAGGATGGGGGTGATAGGGTCGCAGAGCCTGGTGCGGGAGAGGACACAGGCTGCAGAGTTTTCAATGATCTGCAGCCTATGGAGGGAGGAGTAGGGGGGCCGACAAGCAGGGAGTTTGCATTAGTTGAGCCTGGATGTTATGGATGAGAGGGTTTTGGCAGCCTGCAGAGTGAGACAGTGGCGGAGCTGGGCGATGTTGGGGAGGTGGGGGAAGGCAGAGCGGGTCATGGCAGAGATGTAGGGTAGAAAGGATAGTTGAGGGTCAAACAAGACGCCAAGGTTCCGGACTGGCTTAGCAAGGTGGAGTGTGCAACCATGGATGATGATGCTGTCAACAACAACTTGGATTTATATAGCGCCCTCCACGCTGACGGCGTCGCAGAGCTTCACAGTAACGGATCCTGGGACCGAGCCAGGGGGAGGGGGGGGAAGGTGACCAAAGGCTCGGTCGAAAAGGTCTTCAGCAGAGATCTGAAAGTAGGAAGGGATGGAACGAGGCGAAGGAAGTGAGGAAGGGAGTTCCAGAGCCTCGGGACATAGCGGCTGAAGGCATGGCCACCAAGGGTAGATCGGAGGATTCAGGGGATGAGGAGGAGGCCAGACCCGGAGGAACGAAGGCAACGGGTATTGTTTTGAGGGGAGAGAAGGTCAGTGCTTGAGGTGAGGAAGCGCTGACGGGAGCCAATCAGGAGATCCTCGGTCTTGTTGACGTTCAATTGAAGAAAGTTTGCTCTCATCCAGGACTTGACGTCTGACAGACATTTTGTCAGGACAGCAGTGGGTCCTGGAGTCCAGGGTGGAGGCAGAGAGGTAGAGTTGAGTGTCATCCGCATGCATGTGGAAGTTGACCCCATGTCTGCAGATGATGTCACCAAGAGGGAGCACATAGATATTGAAGAGGAGGGGATCAAGGACAGAGCCCTGAGGAACACCGCACGAGACGGTGCGGGTGCTGGAGGAGAAGCCGTTTGTGGAGATGAAGTTGAGGCGGTGTGAGAGGTATGATCTGAACCAGTCAAGGACAGATCCATGAAAGTTGAGGTGAGAGGAGAGGCGGTGGATGAAGATAGAATGGTCGATGGTGTCGAAGGCAGCAGAGAGGTCAAGGAGGACGAGGAGGCAGAGGGAGTCCTGGCACCCATTAAAGTCAGCTTTAACGGGTGCAAGCTTCAGATTTAGGCTTAAAACTGATCCAAGTGGAGTCCTGTAGCTCAGTGGTTGGCGCGCTCGCCTTGAAAGTGAGAGGACCTGGGTTCGATTCCCAGGCAGGACGAAACCTTAGGCAAATTTCCTTACTCCACACATGCATACACACCTCTGTTTACCTAGCAGTAAGTAGGAACCCAGTTGTTAGGCGATTGGCGAATCGCTTTTCTGGGGGTCATAATCTCTTTAAAAATAAGACATTTAAAATAATAATATTAATTTGGTCACTCAATCCACGATTGTTTGTGGGATGCTGCTGTACGCATTGGCTGTAGGAGATTATAGTGATTAGAGGGCTGTAAAGTGCCATATTTCCAATGGAATTCCTTCAAAAGGAATTATGCTCCTTACCCCCTCCTGCCCGCCCATTTTAGACCACGTGGAGTGAAAATTGCATGCCATGATGTGATAATCATCACCAGAGACAACGGCGAGCTGCCATGTGATAATTATCATCACCAACACAATGGCGGCCTTGATGTGATAATTCTCACCAGTGATAAGGAGAGCTGTGATCAGATGGTTATCACCAGAGACAATGTGAACCGTGATGTGATAATTAACACCAGTGACAATTGACATCGCCAGCCTTGATGTGAAAATTATCACCAGCCGTAATGTGAACTGCGGTGTGATAATCACCATAAACAACACATTAGAAAATGTCACAACTTTCCCATTCAGCCTGACATACATTTCCATGACTTTGTGAAGTGATTAGCTGGTAAGAGAATAAATACCTGGTCTATTCCTCTTGGTGTGTGTGTGTCTGTGTGTGGTGCGGTGTATGTGTGGTGTGTGTGTGTGTGTGGTGTATGTGTGCTTGTAGATTGCTCACAATCCATGATATCACCAGCGACAATGTGAGCCTTGATGTAATAATTATCACCAGTGATAAGGCAAGCTGTGAATAAGATCCTGTAGTTATCAACGCAAACCGCGATGCAAGTTTGTCTGCCATTGCCATTGCATCCACTGGTGCACAGAACTTGCTCCGAGATACTGTCCCACGGGAAGGACGCTGTATAAAATAATAATAATCCTTGCATTTGATATAGCGCCTGGTCAGGTCTTCAAGACGTCTCAAAGCGCTTCATGGAATATACTGTAAGGTGTAGTTAGTGACTGTGTATTTTATGGGCGAAACGCGGCAGCCAAGTGCGCACAGCAGCGTCCCACAAACAGTCATGGATATAAATGCAAGCTGTTGTTGTTGGTGGTGTTGCTGCTGCTTGGCGTGAAACCTTTATAAAGAACTTGTTTGGGAAGCAGTAAGCTCCGCTTTTTGTTTTCAAACCACACTGTAAATGGCCTGGAGCTTCTCTGCTTTCAAAGCGCATTGGAGGAGATTGTGGATGGCAAATTAAGGCAGACACCCTGTTGATTTCAGAAGATGATTCGCCGAGGGGTAGGATCCAAGATCAACAATCTGCTTTGCAAGAAAGGGAGTTCAAACGGAAGACATCAAGGCATGAAATGGTCTCAGCTCCATCCCGCTGAGAGAGGCAGCTCAGCTGTGACTCTGAGAGGACACAAAGTAGTTTTAAATTAAAATCGTACAAACCAACAAACACATTTCGAAATCTGTGGCCCACTTCACTCTGGGCCCATGCTTCTTTTTTTAAAAAAAAACTTTTCTCTTTGCAGAATCTGCATGTGTTTCAGGGGCATCAAGTGAGATGGGTTCTATGAAGACTTCGCAAAGAGCGCGAGAGGAGGAACTGATCAGAGTTGGGAGTTAGCCTGTGGCTCAGTGTGTATCATGCTCTCGCCCTTGGCTGACAAGCCCCCAAATAAAATTGGTCACTCACTTCATGGCTGTTTATAAGCGGTTGCTCTTCTTGGCTGCTGCGTTCGCCTGCACAACCCGCAGTCACTACACTTTCAGTGCCCAGTGTCTGTTCCAAAGACAATACAATCTCCATAGGGAGATAGGGTGGTGTTGGGGAGCTTGATAGCCACCTGTTGGGAGGCAGGGGGATGGTGGAGCCTGGCGAGGACTGGTGTGCCGGATGTTTGGAGTGTGGATTGTGTCATTAATAAGCAAATCACGTTGTGTAAGTCCTTGCTGCAGCTCTCAGTGATCGGCCCAGATACCTTGGCAGCCAGGGTCTAAGTGCTGCAGTAACGCGTGCAGACACACACGTGTGTGTGTGTGTGTGTGCGCGTATTTGTGGGTGAGAGGCAGCCCTTCAAATAACAATTGAAGAAAGGCATCAGGTTGCTAGCTGTTAGCTGCCCCATCACTCAATGTCACACAGTTGTAGCTTTCACTATTTATTGTCTTGCAATAAGAAATCTTTGCTCTGACTTGAGACTCTTAACTCGATGAGCCGAGGTTTCCTTGCTAGAATGACTTCTCCTTGAACTGGGGTGTGGGGGGAGGTGGAGGGGCGGTGGGGGGGGGGGAGGGGGGAGACTGTTCTCTGCCTTCTCACAAAAACAGACGGCTTACTGTGAACCCACAAGATGGAGAGAGCGCTGACGGTACATGCGTTAGAACAGAGTTCCCGTGGAGTTGACGGACACATTTCATGTCACATTTCCTCTCCTCCAACTCCTTACCTGACCCCACGCTCGCAAAGCAACCCTTTCTTTTGAGGCAGCTCCTTTCACGTCAGGGAGGACGTCTCAAAACGCTTCAAAGGAGTCACTGTAAAGTGTGGTGACTGTGCAAACGCGGAAGCCAATATTGTCAACAGTGACATCCAGAAAATTAGTCGGCCAATTTAATTTGGGTGTGGAGGGGCTGGGGGTGTTTTTGCCCAGCAGGGTGTCTGACACGTGCGGAAACCCATCACCGTGCTTAAAGAGAATCCAAACCAAACTGAGAATTCCAGGCATCCCACCTACACATGGAAATCCCAGGGATAGATTGTTGGAATGGAATGCGCTCTCTCTCTCTCTCTCTCTCTCTCTCTCTCTCTTGCTCTCCCTGGAGGGACCATCCTGCTTACCTAATTTCTGAAAGTATTAGGCGCAGGTTGGCAAGAGCCAAGGCTTGTGGGGAGCCCAGAGTGTGCGTTGAGGTAACTGCTGGAGTCTAACCACTGAAACCCACATCGCTTGCCATTGATAGCACTGTCTGGCCAGTTTTCCCACTGATTCTCCAGCTTGGAACAAACCGAGAAAGAGAAGGGGGTGGTGGGGTGCGGAGTATTTATTAGCCCTGTGACATTGCTTGTCAAAAGGGAGAGACTGAATGGAGCATTTGGAAGGGTTTGTAGTGTTAGCATTCCTGATGGAAGGCAGAGAGACGTGTGGTGATTTCAAAGACTTTTTCCTGAATTTCATCCTCGAGGGAACGGAAGTGTCTCGACAATAACTTGGGCCTTTTATAATAATAATAACCATTGCATTTGATACAGCGCCTTATCATGTCTTTGAGACGATCTCAAAGCGCTTCACAGGATATACTGTAAAATTAGTCGACTGTATATTTTGTGGGCCAAACACGGCAGCCAACTGGAGGGAGAGGATGGAGGGAGCGAGTGTTTTAATTGATCCCCAGTGGGGTAAATATCAATAATACGCTTTGTGTGGAGCTGGCCGGCAGCTCGGGTGGTGGGGGTGGGAGAAGAGAAGCTTTTCTCTTTGTTTGCTAAGGCAAACCCGCTGCGAAGCCAGCCTATATATAGGTATGTAGGTCCCTTCTATGCCTCAGGCACTTTGTAAGGAGCTCTCTATCTGCACAGGTGAATGGCATTTAACAGACTGTTCTCTGGTCGCTGCGTCCTGTGGAGTTGGAGCATTGTTACAGTCAATCACTCCAACAATGAAACCACACACACAGAGAGCGCCAGTGACCAATGTGATGACTGACTCAAATGTCAAACTGGCCTTTTTTGTAGTTCAAAAAAAAACGTACAGCTGTTAGTAAATGCCAAACGATTTGCTTCTCGCTTTACTCTCTCTCTTTCACTATCTATCTGTCTCTCAATTTCTCTCTCTCTTGCTGTTTCTCTCTCTCTAACTCTCTCTCTCACTCTCGCTATCTCTCTCCTTTTTCCCATTTGCCTTTTTTCTAAGAATGAAACATAAAAACCACTTTGCTTCTTATTTTCCAAACGCATTACTTTAACGACTTGAACGTCCACCTGAGCAGGTACAGACGGGACCTCAGTTTAATGTCTCATCCGATGGACGGCACCTTCGAATGCCGCCCCCACCCAGCATTGTACTGAAGCCTCAGTTTAGACTATGTGAATGCAAGTCCCGACGTGGGGTTTGAACCCACAACCTTCTGACTCAGAGGCGTTTGTAGCTACTGCTGAGTCAGGCTGACACTGCAGGGAATGTCTCCAGTTGGAAGATAAAAGGGTGAGGGGAGTTCTGTGTTGGGTGCTCTCTCCACCACCCACCACCCCCCTCCCTCCTCAGCCATCTGACAGTCAACGAGAGGATCACCTCTGCTTTGTCTCCTGTGGGTACGTGGTGCAGAGAGTGTGTGCTTTGTGCACAAGCCACAGTATAATTGGATGGTGTGCGGGCCACACGTCTCATTAAAAGGGGCTTAAGCCTTTGATGTGGAGAGTTTGATTGTCTCTGCGATTTATGTCTAAGTGGGGAATGTGGATTGTGCTTTTTCGCTTCCGAAAAAGGTTTTGAACAAACAATGGATCTCCAGCTGGCTCCAGAGATCAAAACCAGGCATATCAAAGGGTCCATCCCAGATCCAATCTGAGCCGTGCCTTCCTCCCCCGCCTGCCTGTCTCCCACCGTCCCGCCGGTCTCCCCGTCCACCTGTGTCAGAGCCCCTCGCTGTGGGCAGAGTGCAGAGGGAGGGAGTGAGTTCATCAACCATAACAATAACCTGCATTTACACAGCGCCCTTCGCGTAGGATACAGGTCTCGCAGCGCTGGCTGCACAGTGGTGGGGTTTAAGGTATCTGCCCAATCCCCCGTTTACTGAAGGTGATGCATTCTCTTATTCTCCTATTCGCTCACATACGCGTACACTCTCACCTCACTCACGCACACACTCCCTCACACCATCGCTCTCACTCCCTCACACGCTCACTCACACATTCACTCACTCTCGTACTCTCTCACACACAGTTGCTCGCTC